ATTAAAAGATAAAAACTATGAAAAAGTATAAGAAATATTTAAAAATTATATCAAAGTAAATATTTTTATGTATAAAATAAAATTTTAAAATTATATATATAATATCGGGTTGGTTTTTTTTAGTTAAAACCAAACAACCCAAATATAGTCGGGGTTTTTTTTTTCAAAACCAAACCAAGTCAAACCAAACCACTAGTCGGATTTCTTTTTGGGTTGACTCGATTTACGGTTTGATTCGGTTTTCGGTTCGATTTTGTACACCCCTAGTAAGTGCATTGGTGAGTTCTTCTGCTCCTATCATTTGAGGTGTAGACAATTTTTAGAGTGGTGTATTGGATGAATGTTTCGAAAATGCTATCTCCTATATATAGCATATAGTCACATATATAAGCTCATTGCTATATCAGATGGATGAATCATCGATGGATCATATCAACGGAGGTTAATATAGTAACGGATCTACTCGCAGTATACGAAAGGAAAACTAAGGATTCAAATATCTATATTGGACAACTTTATATTTTTGATGCATCTCCTTCGTTTGTAGCATCCACACTTAAAAGAGATGCTATGGGAACTAAATCGTTTAGTTCCTCTTTTCTATGAATAAACCTATTATTATCAATAAATAAAATCCTTCTATTCTCAAGGAAAAAAAACAAAGTGAAAAAAGCAAAAAAACTATTTTCAATGAGAATTGCCAAGCAAAAAGTGGCGGCAACTACCAAAGGTCCACAAAATCTAATAAAAATTTGATGAATTTTCAAGAAATTTTGGTGAGTCTACAAGATCATTAGAAGAGGCAAAAGATTTCCAGACTTAAAGAAGATGTTATAAGTTCCAAGAAGAAAGAGCCTAACTATATTTTCTTTCTTGTATTATTTTCTCATTATCTTAGTATTATTATTTGTAATATCATCACGGTGTCTATTATAGACTCTGTGATGATAGCAACTAATGGTATTAAGAATGAAACCAAATATACGTAATCCGTTCAATGCGTTCAGAATTTTATGGGTTTGACTCAAAATAATTTGAATTGAGTTCAATGTTAACTCATTCAAGCCTTAACTCGTTTTAAGAGAATCGTCAATTGATCCCAGTTAATCTCCAATTTCAACCGATTTTAAAACTCTTTATTTGTATTGATGAAATATATGTTCCTATATTGAAGCCTGGAGGTATGAATTACTATCTATTTTATATCTTTTAGGATTTATCTATCGATTTGTAACTTTTTAAAAAATAAAAAATCTTGAGTTGAAATTCAAATTGTGGTTATAAAAGTTAAATAACAATAAGTTAAAATTATTGTGATTAAGTAGGTTAATTTGGCAGGTCTTGACCCAGCCCAATTTTTAGCCCATTTGAATTCAACTCATTGGAGCCCAAAATAAATTTGGACGGTCAAGACCCAATCGATTTTTTATTTCAACGCATTTTAATATCTCTAATTTCAACCTAATCCGTCCATTTAACACCCCTAGAAACATCTGAGTTTCTAATCTTGCTTTAACTGATGGGCTCTTACCATGATATTGATTCTTGACTCACATCTGACCTGTCACTTGCTCCGATCCAAGAAGAAATATTTTCTAGAAAAATAAATGAGTTTTTTTGTGTGTTTGTGTTTAATATGTAAGTCAAAAAATATTATTCTAAAAGTATTTATATATAATATAGACAACTATTATGAAAGGTCAACTGTAAGGTTTTAGGAGAGTGAGTTAAGATGAGGAGTAGTGTAGTAGAGGGTGGGAAAGAACACAATCAATATGAAAATAATCTTGATGAATGTTACGGGCAGGGGTTAGGGCTCTTGGATGAAAATGAGGTGTAGTGAAGGGTAAGGAGGACACAATTAATGTGAAATATCACCCGTTGAATGTAGCTTGTTTTTCCTATTTTTACTAGACAACCATTTTACTCATTTTTAAAAAACATATTTCTTATAGTACAAAATATTTTCTTAAGAAGACTTTGACTAGACGAACATGGATAATCTTGGACAAAAAAAATCCGAACAAAGCCTCACCTTTTACTTCATTGAATTATTTTTTGTAACAAACCATCAGACAACTTCAACTAAATGTATCAAGATGGTCACTAAACTACATCTTTATAACAAAAAAAGTTGCTAGCTAAAGGATTATTTTTAGTCTTTAAAGTCTTTAACAATTAGAGGAAATCAATACAATATATCCCGTAATTTGTTGTATTAGTTGAATAAGATTATATTCTTGAGAAGCTAGCGTTTCATTGGTATGTCTACATAAGCTTGTGATAATAATAACTCAAATATGATGCTACATATTTCTGAAAAATTATGTTTTTAATAATTAAAGAATTGTTTTCAATGGAATTTTTTTTTATACCAAAGACTTTCAACTAACTTGCAATATTCTGGACAGGTACGCCGGTTAGGCCGAAAGATAGCCAACTACAACTAGACGCCTAGTGGATGACTTCAATATTAATTTATTTTCTACTGCATGATCTTTAAATATATTTTCACTATTTAATACACAAGTGATTGGTACATGGCGCACGTTAATGATGAAGGACCAATTGGTTACCAAAGCAAAAAATAAATTAAAAAAGAGCATTCTAGCTGAAAACAGTTGATTGTAGTTTGCTAACAGTTCAAAGAGAAACAACCTATCTAAGAAAAATATTGCTCCCTTAGAATGTTTGTTTTCTTTTGCTTCAAAGTAGATGCAGCCCAAACGTGTATGAGTTTAATAGTTAAGAGATACACACACACACATACACACAAGGCTTGATTTATTATGTTCAAATTCAGTACACAAAAGCCGTGGATTCAACCAGTTCGCGACTCTAATATTTGATTTTCCTAAAAAAAAAAAAGGAAGTCAGATTCAACTCCTGCTCTACTTGAGTACAAGAGCAGGAACAAGTTGGTGGACTGCAGCTTGGTAATTGTGATTGTGCTACCCTGTTTAAAACTTTGGATACATCAAAGTTTGAAGAGAAACTCTAAAACAGACGAGACCTGACTGAAGAAAACAAGCTATAACAAATATAGCACATAATGGGCTATTAGACACAGTAACACAACTCATATGCTGTTGATGTATTGGCAGGAATCAAAGATGTAAATAAGAACTCGTGAATTGTCATTAGGAAAAGCATTCATCAGGCTCTGCTCATACTCCATCACAGCATTATGGTGATTTTACCACCCCAATGGTAGTTGCCTACATAATGCTAATAGTTCCACAAATAAGTGATGCAATGGAATCCCCATGTCCATCTGGCTCTGTCCCTTTGCCATTGAGGAGGGTTATGGAACCTGCTATTGGAAGGTTTAGGTTCCTCGAGGTGCCTGGACATTCTGTCAAGCAAGCAAAGATGTCGTCTGCCCCTGCTCCCTCCTCCTCTTCTTCTTTTGGGATTTTCAAATAGTTGCCATTTTAGCCCTCCACAGGCTGCTGTATAATGGAAGTCAAGTGTTCAGAACTTGCTACTAAACCCCAAATAAGTTGAAATCAGTTAGATGACTTCTGTATTGTCATGTAAAAGTTAATCAAACTTACGAGCTCAACACTCAAGGGTGGTTTGGTTGGGAACAAGTTATCCCGGGATAAGTTATTCTACCATGCAAAGGCATAATTGGTGGGATAAATCCAACCAAACACAGGATGAAATAGTCCTGCATTTATCCTGGGACTATTACACCGTACACCTCACACCGAACGCTCTTTAGTATCTTCTCTCTGTACTTGGGTCATCTAGCTAGCACAAATTCCATTCAAAAAACGTCTTATCAATTGATTATCGTCATTCTCAAATGGGTCGGATATGCAAAACCTCAAATATCCATTTTCGTACTATATAATTTGCTTTTAGGGAGCAAGAGAGAACAGAGTTTCTGAGGTCCTAATGAAAAGAGACTTGAACTACACCAAAAACCTTCTCAATCTGATAGTTCATTATAACATGACATTCTACAGAATATGATTAGACAGTTTCGGTAAGATTAGTCTACAATTGCAAACAAAAAGAGAGCAAGATAGCTCTCGATGGCATAATAAGAGCAACTAATCCTCAGACAAAGTTTCAGTTCAATTCTCATTGCTACAATACCTAAAACCTCACAGTTTAGATTTCAATCATGGCTTTCTTTCGCACGCAATGCCATGTCTCAACGATACTTGTACAAATAACATATTCCGGTGCAAATAGCAATAGAGAAAGATAGATATTTACAAATGACAAGAAAATTCTAGATGATAATCCTATTCAATTGAGATGAAGACCTTACAGATACAGTAGGAACTAGAAAGAGTTCATCTCCAGAATGTAACTTCGACTCTTGAGCAACCTCTCCACAGCTTCACAATACACTGCATCTTCCCCAAATGCTCCTAATGCTAATCCTACATCTCCATTTTGTTCTTCCACCTCACTCCTCTCACCCCCTCCATTAGTCGGTCGGACAACCACCAATGTTGCTCCGACCATTTTCATGCCACCGGAGAGTTCCATCCTCGCTTCATGCCACATCCTCATTCGAACTGCTGGCACTGTTGTACGATTATTACGCCACCACAAACCAACTCCATTGCCACTGCTGGCATTGTTTACCTCAGCTTCTTCGCCTTCACCTTGACTTTCTCTACATTCTTTCAATCCTTTCTTATCCATAACAACTTTCCCTTCATCATCTCTGTCCTTGATCACCAAATTCTCCAGCTCTTTATGCTCGTTTACAACCTCCACCATCATGTAATGCCTCGCTGATGCCGCAATCAACGCGCTAATTGTCCAAACTACCCTCATTTTCAACCCTGCACCAGCTCCTCCTCCAAACTCCGCCTCTCCACCGCCTCCGTCCCCGCTGCGAAACCCTAAAATCACGCAACTCTTTAAAGTTTTCCCAAAGTCCGCCTTCCACCTAATCGTCGTGCCTTTCTCTAACCGAAGATCACCTGAAGGAAGCTCGATTTGGAGATTCCTGATCCTCTCGAACTCCCGTAGGATCTGTGCGGGTGAGTTCTGGGATCGGGCAGGGCTTGGGAGAGCCTTGCTTGGTGAAACGAGATGGTGAAGGGATTTGATAATGGATCTGAGGAAAGCAATGAGGAAGGAATCGTCGTCGTCATCAGAATCGGTAGCGGAAATTACCCGGTCGACTCGGAGGAGAAGCGAATCGGCTTGAGGTACCAACGAGTTGAACCGTTTGGAAACGGAGCGGCACCGGATTAGGGTTTTGATATCGGAGATTTGGTTGAACATGAGGTGAATAAGCGGGTCGGGTAACCGATCGAACCCGTCGGAGTGATCCGATTCAAACTCCATCGCCGGTGAGATAATTTTTTCTGATAATAATTTATGAGAAATTAAGAGAAAAAAGAGTGTTGATATGAACGGAGACGATTAAAAAAAAGGAGGCTCGGAAAATCGAGCTTATTGAGGGGAGCGGAGAGTTTGACCGTTGACCTGATATTAAGAGTGGGACCCAATAGGATTTTTCACTTTCTTTTTTGCCTAATTGCCGGCTTTGTCAGAATTTTGATTATGGCGCCGTGGTTTGTTCTTTGTGCTACCGGCCACGCTTTGCATTCACATTTTTTCTATCGAAATTAGGAAAAAAAACGCATTTTCGATGTGAATAAATTATTTATACGATGTGACAACTAGTTATTAGATATCATCATAAATTGATTTATGTTGAACAACTAGTAACCACTCCTTATTTAACCTTTTCTAGACCTAATTAATCTCATATTGTTTCATAGATAGTGATATTAGTTATAAAATAAGTGCATAGAGAAATGGATTAATTCTTTTGAGTGATGCAGTGGAGTTAGCAAAACGTTCATCATAGATTAGTATTTTTTTTATATAATAATAATAAGGTTGGATGCAATCATACATGTTACATTATTGATTATTATTTATTTATTTACTTATAATAAGGTTGGTGTTGTAGATAAATACAATGATTTGCTTAAATAAGCATTTAATCCTTTGGCCCACTTAGGTATATCTTTTTCTTTCTAAATCATGGGTGACGAATCTTTTTAATGACAATGATGTGTTTACCCTAATTTTGTGCATTACATTTGGCTTTCATAAAACTTCCTTTGTTTTCTTTGCATTGAAATTTTCAAAATCAACCACTTTTAGTATACAAATATTTCATGACGAAGTTAGAATTTTCATCAAAAGAATTTAAGATATGAAAAGGTAACACATGAGAAGTTCAAGGAAATTCAGCATTAACGATATACACATAATAAAATTAATTTTAACTATGTATAGATAGTGTCATTTCTGTCCAAAGCAGTTCATAAACCCTCTCAGCCCTACCTAATCTTGCTTACAAACATCTATAACTTGTTTTAAATCACAATTTTTTTTAAAATCATTTTTTTCTTAACCTTTCGTATCAAATCAAACAATATCACATAATTGTTTGCGACTAGAAAAGAGATGATTCTCTAGATCTTGTTCATCCCTGAAGAAGAATTTTCTTTTAAAGCTAGAAAAAAAATGTTTGTAGTTTGAACACAACTAAATAGAGAATTAGATGCTTGGAAGGAAAATTCAATTCAGGATTAAATTATTTGAAAAATCATAAATGAAGACTAGTACTGAAATTGATCAAGTCATAAAGCACGTTCAACAGTTCTTCAGGCTTTACAATGGTGTTGATGTTCTTATAGCACATTCCGAAATAAGTAAATTTTAGGAATAACAAATATAAAAATCATATTATCACTTAATAACTACTTAATAACTATAGTTTTGCTATTTGCGCTTCATAGCAAATATAGTTTGCTATAGGGTATTTAATATGTATAAATCGCGGCAATTTATATAAATCGGGCGTCTATGTCTATGATAAATGTGTTTGTATATGTATATGTTCTTTGTGTTAGGCTAGAGTGCCGAGCGATATTAGGAGAGAGAAGAGAGAGGCGAGCGAGAAAGGCAGAGAGTGGAGAGAGGTGAATTGTATATGTATATAAGTTAGATAATTGTATATATGTAACTACTATATATATATATATATATATCAATGGTTGTGTTTGTATATCTGCATAAAATTTTAATTTGTATACAATTGAATTGAGTTAATATACCATTGAATCGAGTTAAAACATTTGTATTTGTATATCATATTTCTCTCGCTTTATACACACACAAATTGTTCATAGTATTTGTATGATTTGTGTTTGTATAGAGAGAGAGAAAAAGGCAAATTAAGAGAACTGGACAGGAGAATATTTGTATTAGTATAATTATAAGTGTATAGAACAGAGAGATGTGTATTTATATCTGTATATACAGTCTCTCTCGCTTTATACAAACACAAACACAATTTATACATTTGTCTTTATATAAAAGTGAGAGAGGCGAGAGAGAGAATTGAGAGTGGCGAGCGAGATTCAGGGGAGAGAGGCGAGAATGACAACGTGTTTGCTACGAATTAGAATTAAATAAAACTGTAGCTATAACATTTTTTTTGAATTAATAGTTTGCTATAATGCACAATTTCTCCTTTTGAAATTAGGTCCCAATGTCATTAATTATGTTCAATATTGCGCTTGCTTAATTATTTCCTCCGTTTTTTTTTACTTGTTACTTTTTTATTTACAAAAATTAATTTGACTAATCTTTAAAACTTAAGCTGAATTAGATTAATTTAATTATTTTAAATTTTAAATTAAGATGAATATTATGAATTATAATATTTCTCATCTCAACACGATGAAAAAACTTCCATCTTAAAACATTAATTAAAATTTATATACTGTATTTTTTTATAAGTGAAAATAGACCAATAAAAATGAATAGAGAAAACATATCTTTAGTAAGTTTCGACGGTATACGGCTTGACACAATAATATGTTCTTTTAGAAATAAGATATTTCATATTACCCCCAAAGTTTATATTACGGACATAACGACCCCTAATTTTTTATTTATATCAAAATTATCCACAAGAACATGACATGTGAATGTCACAAATGAGTACTGATTACTGAAGCATAATAAGTATTTACATTTACTCACTTAGAAATACCCACTTTTACTTGCTCAACTCAAAAAACTAAAAAATAGGTGTGACAAATATAAATAAGACAAGTAAAATTGAATAGAGAAAATATATTTAATAAGTATATCAAGTCAAACATGAAAAAAAAACATATATTGGGTCAAAACTTTAAACATACTGATCATAACATGCAATTAAGGTTTAATTTTTGAATTGTTAAATACTTTTAAATTCTTTAAACATGGGCCTTTTATAATTTGAAGTAGTGATAGAGGCAAAAATTTCATCAAGTGAAATGAAATAAAATAAATGTTTTGTTATATTTATTGGATTATACATAATTTTTTGGCGAAAAAGGTTCTACCTTTTTATATACATAACTTCATCATGATGTTGTAGGATAGGATCGACGGAGGTAGGTATGATGTAACATAGGGGTGGACCCACATAAAGTCAAGGAGTTCACCCGAAACCCCTCACTTGGAAAATTATAATCCATATATAAGGTTAAATTTTTTATTTACGCATATATATTAAATAAATATTAAATCTGCTCAACACAACACCAGTACATAGTGCAGCTGTTCAGAGGGATAAACATCTATCCATACTAACTTGGCGAAATGGTCTGATGGATCCCTATACTTATATCCGTTTGTATTCTGGACCCTTTTACTTAACAATTTGTCAACTGAACCCTTAGATTCAATTAAAATGAAACTTTTAAGCCCCTCCAACCATGTGTGTAGCTCACTCTCCTTTATATAAATAACATGTCATATTCACGTCATATATATTAGTGTCATGTCATAATTATTTCATAATTATTTTTTAAAATTATTAACCAAAATTATACCTTTATAAAAGGTATTATATACTCTTCATATGTTTATAAATATCCGTAAAATTTTATTTGTTAACCAAAATTAGTTTAAATGAAAGGTAACCAAAATTTGATTCTCCATATAATGTTTTAATAAAAGGTAACATATACTCTTCATATGTATAATTTAATTAAACAAAATTATTTAATAAAAGGTAACATATACTCTTCATATAAATTTTTTAATAAATGTAAAAAGAGACGTAAAAGTTGTTAGTGACATCTCATTCTCCCCATTCACTGTTCACGGCCAAAATCAATCGGAGAAGCCATCGCCGTCGTCATGGCCATTTTTGCCGGCGAAATCGCATATACTCTCTCCCTCACCTATCTTCATCTCCGCCGCACACCATCACCATTTTCCTTTCCTCCTCCAACCTCCACAAAACCAACAACCTAAGCTACCACACCACTAGATCTGACCGAGAAACCTCTTCGTCGCCATGACCTCGCACCCTTACCCACCTCGTTCTCCTCTCCACTGACCAGTGCCGCCTCTCTCTCTCACTCTATTGCGAAGCATTGGTCTCCGGCGTGCACCACCAGCGCCACTTTCTCCCTCCACGGTTAATCAGTGGACTCAAGATGTGCCCTAAGATCTGATAAATTGATGTTAATAGATTGTGGAGAAGAAGAAAAAAGGGGTGGGTATGGGATGAAAATGGTTGAAAAGGACCGGATAGTGGGTGAAGAAGAAGAAGGATTTTTTTAATTAATTGTTTTTAAAAAAAATATTTCTTTTATAATTTTTAATATTTTTTAACCCAAAAATGTTATTCACTCGCTTAAAGAAGCGTGTAGTTACACATATTTGCTAACTCAGACATTCTAATGCCACATAAGCTTGATCAATGGTCAGAGGGATTTGTTACATTGTGTTTTATTTAGTTTAAGGGTCCAGATGACAAATGTTTAAGTAAAAGGATCCAGAATACAAAGTGATACAAATACAAGGGTCCATCAGACCATTTCGCCTACTAACTTAGATCGAATCTCGTCAACTTAAAAAAAAAACTTCGTCAACTTTTTCAAATAGCTTTATATTGTAAATTTATGGGTTTCTTTAAACTATCAAATTAATATATAGTAATATTTCAATCAAAAATTGATTTTCAAGTAAATATTATTATATATTTAATAAAAAATTTAATTTAGATAAAAAATTATTTAATTTAAGCTCGCTCATTCTGCCTGAAGTATATATGCTTTTAAGCATAAACTTAAACTCCTAAGTCCTAATTCTGCCTGAAGTATATATAATTCATATCCTTCCCAGCAAAATGCTTTAAACTAAGAGCGTCAACTACACCAAGAGAGATATTTAATGATAATTATTTTTTCTTTCATCGACAAGATTTATTAAGGCAAAAAAATATTTAGTGATAATTGAGGTAATGTATTCATCACATTCAGAGTTGCTAAAGCCTTTAGCAACATTTTTATATTAAAAAAAAGATTATAAACACCATATTTATTATTATCACTAAATAGAATATAGCGA